CCTAGGTCAACCCAGCCCCGGCCAGCAGCTGCGGAGTTTTGTTCTTTGAAGATGCTCCCTCCCTGGATTCCTTCTTACTCCTGCCTCCCTTGAGCTAGTCTGCTCTAAACATAACGTGTCTCAGTTCATCACTATTCCCTCCAAGGTGTATGTAATCACAAATGCAGACAGTGCATCTTATGAATGCATATGTTTAAAAAAAGAAGATTGATAAAAGGGAAACACTGAAGCAAAGTCAGACAGACCATTTGTTGCTGGAGGGCAGAGAACAGCCACCTGCGAAGGTGACCTGAGAGCCTCTTTGGTTTGCAGCCCAAAGGATTTCTCCATAGATGGACGGCCTTAGAGTTAGCAGCACATATTCTCAACTTGAGCTCTTATTTCTACCAACAGGGAGCCAAGAAGGACAGATGGTGAAAGAATAGAAACAAGAATTGATTGGGAAAAATATATATATATTTAATCTTAAATACAAATAAAATGGAGAAAAGGAGAAACAATCAAAGAAACATTTTTTATTAAAAAAACATAATGTCTGGCTAGAGAAGACAAACTTATCTTTCATGACCCAACTCAAGTGTCATCCTGTCCATGAAGCCTCCACTCTACTTCTAACAGCCTTCTACTTAGTGTCTATGGCATCCGGTGCCCTCATTTATGCGTCTGTCCCCTGGTCAGTTTCCATAAAGGCAGGGCAGGGTCCTTTCTATCTCTCTCTCTCCAGGATCTGAAGTGGTACCTGTCCCGTGAGAGGTGCTCCATGAATATTTGGCAAGTGGCAAGTTTGAGATGAACTCCTGGCACTATAGAGAAGGCAGAGCCTTCACACAACGAAATGCCGTGAAGATTAAGCTTTAGAACACTCTCATCTCCCTCTCTAGACCCCTTTCCCATGTTAAAGACCCTTCTGCTCTGATCACCATGTCTCTGAGAAGTCGTCTGTGGCCTAAAGCTTTGGGTTAGGGAACACAACGGCCTTCTCTTTCTTAAGGACTCTCTGACCTCAAAATGCCTCTCCTTCTGCCTCTGCTCTTCCATCCCAGAAATTAAAATCCTTTTGTTCATTTTGGAAAAAGGACCTGTTTGCATTTGAAAAGGTAGCAGCGGCTTAACCCAAATAAGTCTCTAGTTGGAGAAATTTCAAAAATAATGATTAAGGGCAAAGAAGAATTCCAGTCAGAGCCCGGCCAGGGCGAGGCCTGCGTGGGTGACCTGCGGTCACGCGGTCACACGGGGTCAGCAGTACAACATAAACGTGCAGGCCGAGCATTTGACTCAATGCTTCCCCTAACTCCATCCACCGCTGCCCAACCAAAAGTGCTGAGATTAGAGCCACATTGCATGACCTGGCTGTGGACATTTGTTGTCTCCTGGGACAGCAAGGCGGACGCCTTCGTAATTTCCCCCAGATACCAAAGGTGTCTTCAATCAAGAAATGTCAAGAAACCTAGACTGACAGAAGCTCTTTATTTCTTTGCAGAAAGGTATGAATCAATCTTATTATGAAAACTCTCACAGATAAAGACCTTCCCGTGTAAACCCTTTGGCATTTCCACTCTTCTGATCTTTCTCCAACCTGCAAGTTCCCTTAACTTCCAAAAGAATTTCAGAGTCACATTAAGAACACTCCTGGCTCTTTACAGCGCTGTGCCCCGCCCCGCCACGTGGCCCTCTGGTAATGAGGTCAAGGGCCGAGCAGAGCAAACACGCTGCGAACAGGCTGCGAGGATATCGATTCTTAATTCCTCAAAGCAGCATTTCAAAGTCTGCAAGCAAAGCCTTAACAGAGAGAAATATTCATGCAAAACTATACAAGAAGGAAATAAAGAATCACAAAACCTAAGACTCGGGAAGAAACCCAGAGGTTATTATTTTTCCCTCTCATTCACTGCTGAGGTTATTATTATGTTTTCTCCGAAACAAAATCATTTAATTATTATTTGAAGACCTCCCATGACAAGGAATTCACCACTCAAGGTATTTGATCCCATTGTTATAATCCCTGAATTCCCAGAAGATTTGTCTTTAAAGTTAGTCAAATTCTACCTTCTAGCCAGGTTGCTTTAAAAATCTGGATACTGTGACTCACTCCTGTATCTAGACTGCTTTGCAAAAAGTTGAAGGCAGTTTTTCAGTCTCTCTTTTTCTTTATCTGTAGACAGCACCAGGCCTTGCTTATCTTTGCTTGTCTTCACAGTTCCCGATACTGTGCAACTAGACTTCTAATTATCCGGGAAGTTAATGAAAGAATGAAGGGATGAGCACATATCTCAGCCGTATCTCTGCAGTGTAAGGAGACGGCGGGGGAAGCCCAGGACTCCAAGGCAGGCCATCCTCCACCGCTGCCTGCTGCAGTGGGGCTCCCAGGGCTGTTCTGAGCCAGAGTGGGGAAGGGGTCACTCCATTACCAGCCACAGCCTGGACACTCATCTCTCCTGAGTTAGCCTGAGCTGCAAGGACTCACACTTGAGCTTTCACACGTGCCCTGAGAACTAAGCTCAAAACAAACAAACAAACGAGACAATATTTCCTTGTTTCCTGCCTGTAGCCAGGGTTTAAAAAAATTCAGGTCCCTATGGGATTAGGCAGAGCTTTTAATGAAGTAAGGCTTCAGGGTGTAAGAAGATAGGGGCAGGGTAGAATTCAAGAATGCCTTCCCAATTAAATAAAAACATTATGTGGAAAAAAAATAAAAACAACACTCAGTTTATCCCTTGTGGTTAAGAATACAGAATATGTCACCAGATTGGGAAAAATAAGTTGAATCCTAACTCAGTTGCTTATTTGCTGGGAGATTTTGAGCAAATTATTTAATATTATATGCATCAGTTTCCAAAACTATAAAAAACTAGGTATATTACTGCCACCCATCAAACTGGTTTGCTGTGAGAATTAAGTTCTGTGTGGATTAATAGAACAGTGCCCAGCATAGAGTCATACCTGCGTGTGTATGTCTGCCTGTGTGTGTGTGTGTGTCTGCGTGTGCCAATTGATACAGTTGTGTCCATATGCACTGTCTGCATTCGTGGCAGCCATGTCTTCATGGGCACAGCCTGGCAGGGGCAAATGTCCTTGTGGAACCATACACAAGGACATAGCATATTTCCTCCAAAAATGCTCTGGAGGAAATCCTGCATCTTAGTGCTCTGCAGTCATCTTACTATGTCCAACTCCATCACAAGACGACAATGTTGTTCAGAAGGAAGACTGCTGGGTTGATTATTGGGAGACCTGGTTCTGGCCCCAGCTGTGTCATGAATTACCTGGCTGACTGGTCCACGTCCACCTGCTGAACCTCTACCTGCCTTAGTGCCTCAGGTAGCCTTGTCAACCTCACAGAGGCATGATAGGGCAAAGTTTAAGGCCTGGTATGTTTATGTAATGGTCCTAATCATAACCACATAAAGGCTACTGATAAATAGGAAGTGTAACAACCCATAATGTTTCCCCTCCCTCTCGCAGGCTCTGCAAGGCCAGATGGACTTGGAATGACCAATCATCATCCTAGTTTCTTTGTCTCTCTCTCTGTCTCCTTCTCTCTCTGTTCTTACCTTCCATTTTGCTCTTAGAATGAATGAGGCCTGTTACATCCATGTATCAGTCTTATTAGTATTGCACTTCTTAGAGTCCTCACAAGGTCTAGAGAGTACACCGTGTATGGGGCATACCCCAGGCTTCCTTCCTGCCAGGCCCCACCACTGTTCACCCTGAAACTTAGCTTCATGGATTGGGCAGAATCCATCAAAAGCCAAGACTCAACTCACGATAAAGCAGATTGCAAGAGGAGGAAAGGCACGTTCTTGATCAAAGGTCAGTGATCTTTGAGGTCATACTCCAGAGATGTCCACATCTTTGCCCTTTTTGCCTATTCCAGCAATTGTCCCATCTCATAGGATTTTGATCTAACAGTGTCTTTGGCTGTGATTAGATCAAGGGTCCTTATCCTTGCAGGGTGGGATTAAGCATCATGGGAAGAAAACCTGAATTCTCTTAGCGGCCATCATAACTGGTGCTCTTCAACATTTCTTGCATGAAGTGAGTTCTACCCCCTTTATTATTGTTATCATTTCATATTCCATTTGTCCACGTTCTTTCTAAAATCTGATTCTCACCTATTTTTTAAATTAATAATGGATAATTTAGACATTAGAGCCTAGGTTCTATTAGATACCCTGCAAGTTGAGAAATGATCTCTTCCTCAGGTACTAGAATATTGAGTTTGCCATTAGTCCAGGGCTTCAATAATAATGTACCATAGCCTTGAAAAAAATAAGTTAGTCTATTTATATAGTGTTAAGGGAAAAAATGCCCTGTAAGTATTTGTGAATTTTAAATCAAGTTGAAATAATTGTAAAAAGAAAGGAAGTGATAAAATTGTGATTTACATAAAAATAGTATTATAGTTTTATTAAATAAAAAAATGCCCCAAATCTTATGTTTTAGAATAGCAAGTGCCAAGTTTGTCATTATGTAAGAATTTTAAGCCTCAAAAAACATCTGCTTCTCAGAAGCAAGCCCCTTATTCTACAAGGTTACGACTCGCACAGACTACTTCTCTCTAAGACCAGGACAATCGTCTTCTATTAAATGCAGCCTGCATTTATGCTCGTTGTTTTAACAGCCCTCCGTAAAGAGGACTGCAGCAAAGATGACAGGATATATGTGCCAAGTGTCCTTCTGAAATTCAGATATGCTTATGATCTTCTCCTTTGCACTTAATGGATTCCAGCACAGAATAAATAATAAAGAATTACTGCTACACAGTTGAGGCAAATTAAAGTCAATGCATTTGAAACTTCAGCAGTGAATTGACACCAGCCCTGAATACCAATTGCAACTCATAAAAGTAAAGTATAATCAAGGGTTTGCCTGGAAGTCTGGAAATATGCTGCCCAGGTGGGAGCAACTTGAGGTGGAAATTATACGGAGTTCTGGAGGGCACACACTGTCCCTCCAGCCCAGGCTGACGCTCCACCGGGCTTCATGCCATCAGTACTTACCATTCTTGCAGAGCAGAACAGCCAGGAAGTCCTGAGAAGAAGAATTGATAAAGAACAAAAGACTGGGTGCCTGGGCCGTCACAAAGCTAAATGCAATGTTCTCCTTGGATGGAGCCGAATCTGTGTAAATAGCTGAGGATGAGAGGCTTATATTCTTGGTCACAGGGTAGGGGTCTTGAAACGTGTAAGTAACCGACGTGCCTGCCTCAAAAACAGCAGAAACCTCTGCAAAATATAAGAGGGAGAGCATACATTGAAACATTTAGTCAATTATTCCGGATGGCCTTAACTGCTTGTTTCTTATTTCCTCTGCACCAGGCATGGTGTGAGGGGTTTCACATGAATCATATAATGTGTTCCCCACAATAATTTTGAAGTGGCAGAAGTCATCACTCTTATTTACAAATGAGAAACTTGAGGCTCACAGAGGTTACTTATGCACCTTGAACAAAGTTGCTAGCCAGAAGAGACAGCTCAGGTTCGCTTCCTGAAATTTAGGTCCAGTTCAACATTCATACCTCTGCAGAATGATTACCATGTGCCAAGCTAATATCCTGAGAAGCAGGGATCAAATGTCCCTGCCTCCAGCACAGCACACGGAGATTTATTGGTACCATTTTACTTTCAAAATTGCGATCCTAACAGTTCTGCTTTGTGTTTTTCCGGTGTTTCAGGAAAATTGTGAATGGGCTCTAAGTTAATGAGAGTCAGCCATGGGTGTGGGCAGCGATAATTCTCTATGGTGTTGGGTATAAAGCGAGGATCAATGGGAATAGTAAAGAACGCATTTATGGAAACAATAGAAAAGGCATAGGGATCCAAATCCTGGACTCACATTTTTAGACATCTAGGCATTGGCATCAGTTCCAAAATACAGCAAAGACTTAGGTCTTTCTATGGGAAACAGTCCCTATAGCACGACACATTAGATGGAGGTCTGCCACCGCAGGGAGAAATATGGCATCTACACACTGCTGACATTCAATTAGCAGGAACCCGCAAATCACCCAACCTCCTTGTAGGTAGCTCTCACTCCAACTGTTATCATTTTAGTTTAGAGGAACCAGCACAGCACAAATCAGGACTAGATGTGAAGTCTCACTCGATTTCATGCTGGCTGTGTGGTCCCAGGCAAGTTAGTGAATCGTATGGATAATATTTTCTCATCCGGTGAATGGGAATCACAACACCGACCTCATCAGTATTTCTATGCAGATAAATGAGATGATGTGTGCAAAGCACTTAAGAGAGTGGCCCAACATAGTGTGAACTGTAGACTCTCTGTGTTAGAAGAGAATTTAACCTGAACCCATCCCAGCAGCCTTTACACAATGTATCTCATTATTGACTGCAAATCTGTCCAAATGCTGAGATATTCTCCTCAGATCAAGGCTGCTTTTGTGTTCACTTTAAATTTTATCTCTATACAATATCAGAGTGTGTAGGAAAGGTTCCTTCATAGAGCAACCTTAGATCTAGTAGCAAATCTCTGTCATAAAAATTGCACAGTAAACATGAACCCATATCGGCATGATTAATTTCTCTTTGTCCTGAATGACATGTAGAATGTTTCTAATTCTCCATGAAATTCTCTGATTGAGTTGGTAGAACCTTAGAACATAATCAAACCTGGCTTTTGCCTCCTAATTCTATTGCAAATCTGTTCCACCTTGTGAAGATTCTGTAACAATCTGTAATAGTGCCAAAAAATTTAAAGTCGCATATTTATGCATATTGCCTTGCAGATTGGGAATATTAGTTCATTTTTATCAAAGGTTCAGAGGAAGTATTTTGCATTTATCATGAAGGTTATGACATTGGTACTTCTGATTATGAAAATATGTAGCAGACACTTATAAGAGTGAGAATTTTGATTAATTATCAGCTTGATTCAGGCATTTTCCTTGGGTGAATTTTCTAAGGGACATTTGGCCTACATTTTGAGCTACCATCTCCTAGTTAATAGAATAAAGGGCTTTTATTTGATGTTTGTGTGCATGCTTAAACAGACATCTAATTCAGAGCATTCTATTATTAATAGCATATTAGATATGGGCATGTACAGTATATTACTTTTTTCTTTGTACTTAGGACAAGAAATTAAAAATAAAAAGCACTTTGTAATTAGAAACGTCAAACCAAATTTCTATTGTCATTCTTCCTCCAACTCCAGTTCTAACTAATGTTTAGATATTGTCTATTTTTAGCACTCTAACTTCAGCTACACACCTAGACTCCGTTATTCTTTCAGTTTCTGTGTTTTGTAATCTAAAAGTTTAAGTTTTTTGATCTGAGAGACTGAGTTGCCTGAACATCCAATACCATTAAACAGATGAAATCACTTAATCTGAAGGTCATTTCTAATGACCATCATTCTACTCCAGGGCCACAGTGCCAATATCAATGACATCCCTTGAGCACCCACTCGGAGGAAGGAACTATGCTGACTAGGTTCTGAGGAGGTAAGACACACATTTGAAAAAATGAACACCAGTGGAAGTTAGCCTGGGCGGTGGTGTGTGAGTGGCAGAGACCAGGGTTCCCAGAGCTCCCAGAGCTGGTGGCTCTGAGAGCCTGAGCAGCCGAGAAAACCTGCCAGAGGAGCTCAGCACTGGCTGGGCCTTGACGGGTGGCAGGAGCTGTGAGGAGCTGGGAAACAGGATGGCACTGGGAGGCGTCCTGTCGCCGAGCCCTGTGGAGCTGGCTGACCTGGAGCTGGAACCTGGCTCTGCCCGTCTCTTGCTGTCACAGGGCCCCACTCAACCCCAGGCTGCTCAAATACAAATTGGGGTGAATTCAGTCTTGGAATGGGCAGAAGGATTGGAAGAAAATACGTGCAAGCACGGTGCCTGGTAGGAACTCAAACAGTAGCTGGTCCTAATAATAGCGACAGAATTGAATTTGGAATTGGAACAAACAGAAAGAGGAGTCCTGGGTAATAAGCCGTCTAGTGGTTACTTGGAAATCATCCAGGCTGTAATTAATTTAGAAAAAAATCAAACTAACTAAATACAAATTAAACAACTGGAAATTTGAAAATTGAATGAATATTTCAAAAATTATTATTACTTTTTTTAATGATACTGGTCCTTTGGATATGTGTTTTTAATGAGTGTTATCTTTTAGCAATACATATTATTATGTTTGTAGATGAGTTACTATTATATCTGGGATTTGCTTCAAAATCACAGAGGAAGAGGGCAGGAAATGAGTATATGAATGAAATAAAAATGCGCATGAGTTGGTAATTGTTGAAACTAGATAATGAGCATGGGGGTTCTTAAAATCTTCTCTCTACAACAGTGTATGTTTGCCATTTTTCCATAATAAAAAGTAAAAAAATGGCATAAGTTGGAAGGAATATAAATGTTACAGAATTTCTGGATAGGTTCTTGGCAATACCTAAAAAGTACTTAAACGTAATACTATTTTTCTTCACCGAAATTCTGTTACATGTGTTTATTACATTATCTATGAACAAAATTTGGGATGATCTAAATATTTGAACAATCATAAGTATTTAGTGAGACTTTATATGCTATGAGTTATCCCAAGTGCTTCGTGAAGGGCTCATTGTATGTTAAGCACAACCCTTGTGAAAGATTCCTGTGTGCTTCACATTTATGGATGAGGAAACCCAGGGAGCTAGAGGTTGAGCTACATGGCCAGTGTCACACACTGTAGGTTGTAGATGAACCCAAGTCTGAAATTAAGCAGGTGTGGTGCCAAGAGCTGCTCTATTACTCTGTGGTCTGGAATGCTCTGGTGACAGAATGGATTAAATAAGAGAAGGAAATAGCACCAGATAGAATATACTGCAATTGTTAAAACTGATGCTTAAAAATGTTTATGATTTATATAGGAAATTTGCTTTTGAAATAAAAAATTAAAAATCCAGTATAGAAAATATAATGGATAAAATTATCTCAGCTGTACTAAATGCAAAGGAAACAATTAGAAAGACATAAAATTTTCTTTTTAATGATTATTTCTGAGTAACTAGATCAGGTTTTAACTTTTCTAGGTTTCTCAGTGTATATCCAAATACATTTTCAGATATATTATCTAACATTTTTATTTAAAAACATATTTAAATGAAAACGCCATGACCATCTTACCCGGATTCTTCATTAATGATGTGTGCATTGGGGGTTGATGGAGCTAAAGGCAAACGCACGTCAGCAAATGGTGCTGGGACAAGTGGATAAACACAGCAAAAGAATGGAGCTGGACCCCTGCCTCACAATCAGTAGAAAAATTAACACAAAATGGACCATAGATCTAAACGTAAGGGCTAAAACTATAAAACTCTTAGAAAAAGCCAGAGGTGCAAATCTTCATGACCTTGGATTAGGCAATGATTTCTTAGATGTGACACTAACAGCATAAGCAACAGAAAGAAAAATAGGTAAATTGGGCTTCAAAAGGTATTATGAAGAAAGTGAAAAGGCAACCTATAGAATGAAAGAAAATATTTGCAAATCATATATCTAATAAAGGAATTAATTGTATTCAAAATATATAACAAATTCTTACAACTGAACAGTTTAAAGAAAAAATATAAAAAATGGCAAAAGATTTGAACAGACATTTCTCAAAAAAATGATATGTATAAAAATAGAAACAAATACATGCAAAAAGGTTGAATAATAATTACTCATTAGGGAAATGTCCACCCAAACCACAATATGATATCATTTCATACCCAATAGGATGTCTACTATCAAAAAGTCAGACAATAATAAATCTTAGCAAGGCTGTGGAGAAACTGGAACCCTCATACACTGCCAGTGAGAATGTAACATGGAGCAGCCTCTTTGAAAACAGTTTGGAAGTTCCTCTAAAGGTTTAATGTATAGTTACCGTAAGACCCAGTGATTTCACTTCTAGGTATATACAAACATATATCCATCAAAAATGTGTACATGAATGTTAATAGCAACATTATTCATAATAGCCAAATAAATGAAACCATCCCGACGTCCATCAACTGATGAAAGGATGAACAAAATGTGGTGCTTTCACACTATGGCACACTGACTAGCAATATAAAGTAAAGTAATAAAGTACTGAAAAATGCTATATAGCATGGATGAATCTTGACAACATTATCCTGGGTAAAAGAAACCAGATGCAAAAAGGCCACAAATTGCATGGTTTCATTTATATGAAATGTCCAGAATAGGGAAATGTGTAGATTAGTGGTTTCCGAGGATTGTGGGGAGAGGTGAATGGGCAATGTCTGTTAATTTGCATGGGATTTCTTGGGGGGATGATGAAAATATTCTGAAATGAGACAGTGGTGATGATTGTGCAGCTCTGTGACTATCTTAAAACTCACTGAATTGTATTCTTTAAAGGTTTTATGATATGTGAATTACGTCTCAATAATTAAAAAAAGGGAGAGAAATACACAAAGCTAAAGCTACATATGTGGAGAAATTGAATTCTATTACCATATTCCTGCAAAGAATAAAATACGAGTCATAAAAAGGCAAAAGGAACCAAAAAAATGATGGTTGGACATCTAGTTCTAACACTTATTAGCAAGTCATTAAACCTCCACGAACCCCTCATGTGTTAACATATTAATACCTGTTCTACTAGTTTGGAGACAGGAATATATGTTGCAGTTAACTGCCAGTTAATTTTATGATAATTTTTCTTTTTACCATTATAGTAAGAGAAAATGGGCCAATGAACTGTGATTCTGACCCAGGAGTAGGTAATAACAAATGTCCCTAATTCCACCCAAGATATGCCTGGTATTTACACACCATTTCCCTAAAGTATACCATGCCATAGTAGGAAGCATGGAAGACTATCCAGGAGAGAGCATCCTTTGCTCAGGGCTGTCTTGTAGCGGATGGCTCCCACTTCCATTCCAAGCCTCATTTCCCAGAGACAACTGGCATTGCTCAAAGCCTTGGTTAAAAAGCCCATAGTACAGGCATCCCAATTACTGAATATGGAGGGAATGATTTCCTTAGGATTATCAGAAGGAGGGAAAAGTTTGGAAACAGTGAAATATGAGCATGCTAAAAAGGCTAAGTACACATTTGTCTATGTAACTTATGGATCAAAATAAAAATATTGGAGGGAGCACAGGGAATATTCTAACATAGGCAGGCAAAAGACACAGTGGCATGGGCAGAAGAAAATTAATAAGAATTATTTCAGAGTAAGGAGCCAACAAAAAACAATTGGCTAAATTTAGAACAATATTATCTATAAGATGTTTGAATAATTTCCCCAGAAAAATGCAGAGAGGTCTGCTGTTCATTTTCTTTCAAACACAAGACTTGAGGATGGGTGCTATTAATGTAAAATAATGCTTGTGCATTTTAGTGACTGTGCCTGGTAGCGTTTATTCTGTATTTGCTTATTCTAGCACGTGGCATGACCCTAAGAGTGGCATTCAGAATAAGTTTTCTAGGGTAAGTTATTCTGAGACCTCGCTCAGTGTGAACACCCAGCAGCACTTCGCTTGTCTCAGTGCACACTAAGAGCCTCCTGGGATAGGACCTGCTTGGTTTCAAGCTTCCATGCAGGGCCCAACACACTGTTGGCCCTAAAATTTATACCATTAATTTTTTCCCAAGAAGCATAATGTGCTTCGCAGCAATAATAAACAAGTAATTCAAACTAATTGGGGTGAAGTATGGCCCAAGTATGAATGAAGGGAGAGCTTCATTTATAGCATTCTTCAAAGAAGACAGGGGATGCTTTTTTGTTTTGTTTTTAAGTTCCAACAGTAAATTGGACTAAATAAAGCATTGTTTGGTAAAGGTGCTTGGAAAATGTGTTCTAATGAATTGATAGGATTTATTTATAATTGTCATCATTGTTTGTATGTAAATGGTGTCTTTAGTGATTAAAACATTTTATTTTAATAGCTGAAGTGCTGTTTTTGTAATGTTGTTTACATTATTTGCTCAACAAACTTTTTCCCCATCAATAAAAGAAACTTACAAATACTGCAAAGATTGATAGTAGACCAAATCTTTTGTTCTTATTTTTGAAAAATATGAAGTATTTACTCTGAATAATGAGATTTTATAGTTTCTAGAGTTATCTTGAATTTACCTAGAGATTCACACCAGGACCATCACTCCTTGTGCAAGGTGTGCATCCTTCATGATAAAGTTTTGTCATGGTATGAATTGGTAAGATTGGGAAGGGGTATGGAAAAAGCCCTGGGACAGGAATTTTGGCTCTCGTGTTCCAATCCCAGCCCACCAATGAAGTAAACATGAGCCTCTGGGCAGGGGTTTTAAAGTGTCAGACCTTTGCTCAAGTCACCTGCAGAAGAGGGAAATTTCACTAGATACACAATATTGTTTTTACTGCTTTACCTATACTCCGTTTGTCAAAATAATTTCAGATGGCTTAAGTGTCTCTAAGGCTCCTCCAGGGATAGATTCTATGATCCTTTGGTTACATTTGTGAACTGAGGAATTGGAACTGGAGATACCAGTGTACCACTAACAATCCAGCTAACACCGCAGAAGGAAAGCCCACCTCTTCCCACACTCAGCTGGCTGTCATGGAGTGGCCGTGGGAAGTGTGTTCTCCTGTAATTACCCATCCAGTCCACCTGCACGGCCAGTGTACACACGAGAGAACAAGCGGATGTGATTATGTCGAGGAGCTATGCACAATCTCCAAACACAGGGAGAGTGAATGAGGAGGACTGTCTAAGGGCGCAGGCATCAGGTGGCCTGACCACAGCCTGGAGGAGCTATACCCTGCACGAGTGAGGAGCAGAAGTGCTCCGCGTACCTTTTTTGCAAAAGGGCCCTTCATAAGGAGAATTGGTGCAGTCGCAAAAGTAGCCACTGGGCTTCTCCACACACTTGCCCCCGTTGTGGCAGATGCTGCCGTAGCTACTACAGTGACCTGGGCAGCCCGGCCTGACTCCAGACGTGAACTTTGCCTTCTCCTCCAGGTCCAGTCTCTGCCCGTTCAAGTGTAAGGAGCGGATGCATCCTAGGAACCCTTTCTGTCTTGATGATGTTCCCCCTAGGAGGTAAAACATAAGAGGAAAAAAATATAAGGTATCGCAAGGCTCAATTCTTTTGGGTTTAATATCTTCGTTGGTATGTCATTTAATATCTTCGTTGGTAATATCTTTGTTGATTATTGCTGTGTTGAATACATTTTTCCACTAAAGTTTCCCATAAGAATTGGGATTCCAAAGAACCTCAAAAAAATGCATGTCCTTCTAGGCTGGGAACCCCCTACCTACCCAACCCCGGAAAAAGTAAAGAGAGAGAAAGAATATGGTTCTTGTGGGATCCTGTATTTTATAGGTTTAAGAATAAAACTTCAGATGACCATGTTCCCTGAAAATAAAATGTGTTCTTACACAGTCTACAGCACACTTGCATTTGAAGTAGAAGGCACAGAGTAGGACTGTCCCGTCTGGCAAGATGTTAGCTATGCCAATTAGGAAACGGCAGCGAGCTTCAGTGCTCACAGAGCGCGTGCAGTGTGCTCACGAGAGAGGGGACCGCCGGGCGGACAGACACGGGCCAAACTCCGTCAGTCACTGACTAGCATGGCAACCGCTGAATCACCTAAGCCCCAGCTACTTGATCTGTAACATAAGAATAGTTTTATTCCATGTGTAATAAGTATCCCATGTAATAATTTATTCCATGTGTATGGTAAGGCTTGGTTGACATCATAGAACACAGTAGGTGCTCAATCATTGCTGTTCCTGTATCCCTTCTCTTGAGCCCTCACAATGGCTGGAACCAGTAGGTCCTCAAAATATGTGTGCTTACTCATCCTAGCTCACCCTCAAATCATTGTTGGGAAGCTAGATTTCTCTTTCTGGAATACACAATAGGGTTGTAACACAAGTTTCTGCTGAGGGTACATCTTAAAATTTACAGAGTGATTTTATATGTTCCTTGCAAATTATCCAAGGATAAGGCAGATTTGAAGTTTCAGAGTATTTTGTTCCCATTGGAAATCTAGGATTTTATCAACCTACCCCTTTGATATCAGAAAAATGTGTGTGGACAGACAAGCCAGAAAGTTACGCTAAATCCCATCAGCTGTTAGTTATTTGGTGTGAGGAATTCCGGGAGCTCCCAGAGAAGGTGGAAGGAGGTACAGCCGGCCCTTAAAGAACACAAGTTTTGTTTCAAATCCTTGGACTCAAGTCCACATGCACGGGTGAGTGGAGGAGACACACAGGCCTTCCAGGTCTACCAGATGTATTGGTGGAGAGGGAGAAGACAGACAGGAAAGACAGGAAACCGCCAGGGCTGGAACCACCTTGTCACTCATCCTCTGCACCCTCAGCATCTCCCATCTGCGCCTCATGCATTGCTAGCCCCTTATCCCACAACTTATTTAAAGTTAGTCTGGGAAATGACCAGATAAAAATACGTTCCCATCAAAGTTCAAAAGGTGTTGTCTCAAACCGGGAATGTAGATGTTAAATAAGAAACAAAGCTGTTAATTAAGGGAATGAATAAGTAATGTAAAGAATTCCTGGCATTAGTCAGCCTGGCCTGAGGGTGGGTGGGGTGGGGTGGGGGAAGGTAAGGAAATAATTAGAAATGTGATGTGGAGAGTATGGCCTGAGGGGCAGGGTCTGCTTACCCTAAATCACCCCAGGTCACCAGACCCATAAATATATGTAGGACATGCACTGGCCGCATCCAAAGATAGAACTTTCCTAACAGATACGTCTAGTCTCTTATTCCAAAGCAATGATGAAACTCCATTGTATTTTCAGTTCCGATAAGTGATACCCAAGCAGGTCAGGAGGCCAAACCCAGATTGCTATTCTCCTGTCTGTCTCAATTTTGGTGAGTAAATCTCCTTTTAACCACAAGATAAATCAATTATAAACACAAGCTGATCGTAGTAGAAGGTTCATTATTTCTTTCCTAGAGATTGGGTAGAATAAAGAGGGGTGGATTTATGTAGTTGAGTGTTTTGTTTGGTTTTGTTTCCCTTATTTTGCAGTCACTCCCCATGGTGGATTTGAATAACTCTTCATATATCTTGTTAGTGTCATTTTTCTTTTAGCAGAGGTGAACGATGCAAGATCTATTGCACATTTTCTTGCGTGTGACTTAGTCAACAAGTTTATAAATGGAGAAGAAGGTGACTGGGTTCGTTTTTCTGGCAGAAATGCACTCCTTGGGGTTTGTGATGTGCAGAGGCTGGTGAGAATGCCCCAAACAGGGGATCATTTCAATTACCGACGCTGACAAAGCACAGTGTCACGGAGAGCTGTGAACTAAATGGCACATTGAACTAAATTTCAATTTTTACCTGGCTGCTTTTTGTTCTTTACAAAGGAGAAAACTAGAGGTTAGGCTGCTTTTTCTTTATGAAGAACAATATGTAGACTAAGGATAAAATAATTTTTAAAAGATCCCCCCCACACACACAGACCCAGAATGCTTGTTGGTTCTCTGCACTCTCTGCTGACGACACCTACTGTGTGTGGAGTGTTGCCGGGCTCTGAATCTTCTGTGAAATGTAGACACTGTGAGGAAATGTGGCAGTAATCTTCCCTCCTGCCCGAGTCACAGTCCTCGCCCCCAACGCAACCCTCCCCCAGTCCCTCTCCCAAACACCCCTGGATGCACCTGCCACCCAGAGCCTGCTCTCCTCCGTGCAGTCTCTCTCGCCCGGCAGAATCCCCACAACGTTCTGCCTTCAGCCCTGACTCTCCCATCTGTTCACCACTTTGTAGCCAGAATGAAATTTGAACATTTGATTCTACTGTTCCTGCTTGATACCTTTCACAGACCAGCCATTGTCCTAAGGATCAAGCTGAAATTCCTCGCGTGGCTGATAGGGCAAGGGCGGGCTGGCCTCCCCTTCCCTCCACAGCGCCCTCCCCCCATCCTCCCTGCACCAGGCATTCCCTACTACCCATGGCCACCCAGCGCCACATGGTTTATCTACACTTAGGACCGCGTCACGTCACGTATGTTTTATGTACCTGGTATGTTCTTTCCCCCATGCACTCCTTGCCTGTTCTGTCCCACCCCTGCAATTGCAGACACACTCACCAGCACTCCGTAAACACTCATATCATTTATTTTTCTGCTCACTCAGTGTTCAATTATTGTTATTAGTTGTCAGGTTTTTTTTTTGTTTTTTTTTTGAGACAGAGTCTCACTTTGTTGCCCAGGCTAGAGTGAGTGCCGTGGCATTAGCCTGGCTCACAGCAACCTCAATCTCCGGGGCTCAGCGATCCTACTGCCTCAGCCTCCCAAGTAGCTGGGACTACAGGCATGCGCCACCATGCCCGGCTAATTTTTTGTATATATATTTTTAGTTGGTCAATTAATTTATTTCTATTTTTGGTAGAGACAGGGTCTCACTCAGGCTGGTTTCTGACTGGAACTCCTGACCTTGAGCAATCCGCCCACCTCGGCCTCCCAAAGTGCTAGGATTACAGGCGTGAGCCACCACGCCCGGCCTAGTTGTCAGTTTTTAAAAAGCAGGAAATATATTTTTTTAATTCTAGTAAGTTCCCTATTGAAAAATTAGAAGATCTGTTAACAATGAACCTGCTGTCCTGCACAGCAAACCTTGGCTGCAGCTGCCCTGAGGCGAGGTTCCTTAAGATAGGGCGTGCCCTCTCCACTTGGCCACAGGCCCACTGGGACCACTTCATTCATTCCTGTTGTCTCTCTGGAACATTGCAGATATTTAATTTTTCAGCAGTTGCTCTAATATACTTTCCTCTTTACTTGTTTGCCTTTTGTCTTTTGTACATTTCACTGTAAGGTTGGAAGAACAAAAACATGTACCATTATACTTAGAGCAGCTTAACACCATTTTTTTTAAGGCTCAGCCTTAATCTCTTTGAGAGCTCTTTGATAAGCAGAACAATGCCTCTGATTCTAAAAAAATACATCTCAAACGTACTAGTTCTATGTTAGCAACTTTAACACTAAATTCATTGAATTCTCAATGGTGAAGAAGATATTCTTCATGTTATTCACATTTTGTGGTTGAGAAAACTTAGCATCAGAAAGATTGCTTTGGCCAGAGTCAAGAGTCAAACACATTTTATGTGGCAGAGCGAAGAGTCATACTGGATCTGGTGACCTTCAAAGCCCTCATAGAGGTCTGTATCCCACAACCCTAAAATGAACTATTATATTAGACAATTTGTGTCAATGACACAACTAAGTGATTTTTCTACTTTCTTCCTCTGATCTCCTACATGTTTTCTTCCACCAAGTAATATACACCCATACATTTATCCTCTTGGCTTCCATATGACTCTTCTTGACAACTCGGACCATTAGTTGGCTGGCCTAGCTAGAAGCAATTTTGTATGAAACTCTTCAGTTGGCCCTTTGTATCAAGTGGGTTCATTATGATGATGTTTCCTTGGACTGAGTATGAATCAACTCTTAAAAACTTCACTGTCATCATTCTAAGCCTGTCTTAGAAAACCTCCATATGTCAGCTCAACAAATGCTCATTGCTTTCAGAAAAGCATCTCAATTCCTTGTGCCCTCCTTGAGCACAAGTGTAAGAGCCTCTATTTCTCTCATGTGTATCTGTTCTTTCTGGTACATGCACAAGCAAAACTCCTTTGCAAAGAAGCCTCTGGAAAACACTGAGTGGACCAAGCAGGGATCTTATTTCATAAAAATTGGTGCAGCGCCACCTTCCCTCCCTCTCTCCTCCCTCCCTCCTCCCTCCCTCCCTCCCTTCCTTCCTTCCTTCCTTCCTTCCTTCCTTCCTTCCTTCCTTCCTTCCTTCCTTCCGCTCTTCCTCCCTCCCTCCGTCACTCCTTCCATCTTCCTTCCTTTTTTTTTCTGCTCTTGAACATGGAGCTGCTTGCTTTCTACTGAAGTTCATGTACATTACCACCTAGATCTCAACTTCTAAAGTGGTAGCAGGTTTAACATATACCTGATGAATAAAAACAAGCATACTAACCACTAATTATCTTTCTTTTTTCATCCTGCTCTTTACAACTAGCAGAATGTGGGTACCAGGAGAAAATCACAATAGAGACT